TGTGAGCTGCTGAATGATGCGCTGCTGCTGGTCCACTTGCTGCAGCAGCAGGTCGCACTGCTGCTGCAGCACAGCCAGCTCCATCTGGAGGACGGACAGCTTCTGGTGCAGCGCAGCCTGCTCCACCTCAAACTGCTGGTTCCTGCTGTCACACAAACAATTTCCTCAATTTTCTCACTGATAAATAAACAGGCTTTTTATATATATATATGTGTGTGTGTGTGTAAATCTGTTCTTTTCAAAGCTATTAAACCAACCAAAGGTAAGAACTCTGATGTTTTTGTGCATCAATGCAGAAATTTGAAAAGTTCCTGTTGGAATAAAAACTATAATCTCTATAAAAACAAGAAAAGAGAAATACATATGGCCTAAGTATTTTAAGCAAAACAAAATAAAAACTAAATCTGTAAAAATGGGTATTGGCAGGTCAATATATCAAACTCAATTTCTGATTGTAATAAAATTTTTTCAGTATTTTCACTTACAAATGTCAGAATATGCAGCGCTGGAAAAAATTAAGAGACCATTTAAAATGATCAGTTTCTCTGACTTTACTCCTTCTAGGAATATGTTTGAGTAAAATGAACATTGTTCTTTTATTCTATGAACTACTGACAATATGCTAATAAATTTAGTTTTTATTAGCAGAAAATGAGAAGATGCAGAGCTTTCAGACCGCAAATGATGCAAAGAAAACAAGTTTATATTCATTTAGAAACAACAATATTAATATTTTAACTCAGGAAGAGTTAAAAAAAATCAGTGTTTGGAGGAATAACCAGGAGGTTTTCAATGCAGTGCTCTCGATCTTAATTTTTTCCAGAGCCGCATTTCCAAAAACGAGCTTTTACTTCAATCATCTCTTCTGTGAGTTGACCTGAATTCAAACATCAAACAGATACAAGCTGTAAAACACGCTCGTCAACAAGATGGCGGCCCTGGGCAAAGTGATATTACTTGAGCAAAGGAGCACAAAAAAAGAAAATCCAGATTTTCTTGAAATCAAATCTTTAAAACTGAAAAGTTTGATTTAATCGATAAAATCTGTGCATCGCCCAGCCGCAGTCAGACCTGATTGGTGCGTCTCCAAGTCATGGAAACATGAAACGGACGTACCGCTCTCTGCTCTCCGTGTGGCTGATCTCGTCCCTCGTGTCGAGCTGCTCCTGCAGCCTCTCTGCGCTGGTTTGCAGCTGCTGCTTCTCTGCAGTCAGACGGTTCATCTCCGACTGCAGCTTGACGTTTTCCTCAGAGATTTCACTAAACTTTGACTCCAGCTGGAGTTTCTCCTCCTCCACCTGCTGCACTTTGCAGACCAGCTCCCTGTTCTCAGAGGTTAAAGCAGAAAGCCTCTCCTGCAGCTCAACTTTTTCCTCGCTGACTGAACTCAGAGCGACGTCCAGCTGGGCTTTCTCCTCCGAGACCCGACGGAGCGCGGACTCCGTCTGTTGCGTTTCTGCAGCCATCTGGTCGATCGTTGCCTCCGCTTCCTGCTTCTGCTCAGATAACTCTCCAACATCAGCATGGAGCTGCTGAATCTCCTTCAACAGGTCGCTCATTCTCTCCTCCAGCTCCTCCTTCCCCGCTTTTACCCGAGTGATTTCAGTTTCAGCTTGTTTCTGCTCATCCATCAGCAGCGTTAAGGAAGCCTGGAGGTCGTTTTTCTCCTCGTTTAGCTGATCCAAACGGCTCCCTTTCTCCTGAATGATCTGCCTCAGCTCCGTCTCTGCCTTTGAGTTTTCCTCAGTGATCTGACTCAGTTTGGCCTCCAAGGCCGAGACGCTCTCCTCTAGCTGCTGCCGTCTGACGGCGTCCTCCTCCAGACGGGTTATCTCGCAGCTCCGCTCCAGCAGCTCCTCCTTCGCCGTCACGTATTTTGTCTCCAGCAGAGAGTTTTGGGACTGGACCTCGTCCAAACGGGTTTCCAAGACAGAAACCTGAGTGTAGACACGGGAGAGCATTAGTTAAACATACTGTTACATCTCAATAAATCAGGACTGACAGTTAATCGGATACAAATTAGCCCCATTCTGTAGATTTTTCATTTAAGCCTTTTGTTATACAATATTAGAAATACATTAGAAGATACAAATATATCTTCTAAATTAAATTTCTTTTTTGAATAAGAAAGCAAACATTTTATTGCCTAAAATGCAACAACATAGCATTCCTTTAGCGTGCGGCTGACCATTTGTAGCACAAGATGCATCTGCAGCTTAAAAATACTTCAAACACCAACATTTGATTGATTGATTTTTTTTTTGCATTAACCAAATATGAATTTGATAGGAAAAGGTGATAAATATGAGAATTTGCACCAGGTGACGTTAAAAGGAGTTCTGGATGAAACATATTTACACACAAATAAAAAAAGTTTTTTGTTTTTCATCTTAAGTGCAAAATGCAGAGAGTTTTTAAATACAGCTTTTTCTTAATTACGGCTCTGACAATGTGGTTATTTCAACAAATGACCCTTTTGGAGTTTGTCCATGCCACTTAACGACTAACCAAGTCCAAATTAGATGACGATTATTTCAATAATCAATTGATTATGATTAATCTGATGAATTGTTTCAACCCTAAATAATTAATATGGTTATGGAAAAGTTGATTTACTTCAGTAATTCTAACATAAGCTTTAAGGAATATATTTTAAGCATGTTTTCTGATTATTACACTTCTATGCCTCACAGCTGAAAACATAATTTAACATAAAATTCAAATATTAAACAACAAAGTAAAGGGACACAAATGTTACGGCCAACAGAATCACAGAGGTGACTGCTGACTTGAAGTTGGTAGAACTGGTAGAAAAGGGTCAAACTAAGAAAAAGGAGTTTGAGGAGCAGAGCCAATTAAAGAGCTTGAGGGTGTTTCATACGGTGTGGGCCGCAGCTGAAGTCAGTCCTTCCAGAACCTGGACTACTCGCCTCTAGAAAACTTCTGAAGAGTAATAAAAACAAAACGTGAGCCAACCTGGGCTTTGCTGTCCTCCAGCATGGCCTCCAGTGACGCTATGGTTCCCTTCAGCTCCTCCACCTGACTGTCCACTGAGGTCATGGCCGACTCGTTGTCCTCCAGGTCCATCTGCAGCATCTCCAGCTGCACCTTTATTCAATAGATACATACTTTGGAAGTAATGTTTACATTCACATTTACTAGTACTGTAAACCATTAATCTTTGATTAACCATTAATCAATCAGTCTTACGGAATGAGTTCAACCCTCTTGATATAAGAGAAAATGGCCACTTATCAATTAATCCGTAAGATCAACTTTAGATTAACTCATTGATCGATCACTTACACACTTTTCATAATTTATTGGAACGACAAAAGAGACAAGACACATTACCGCACATCACATTACACAATACTATTTTAAAAAGTAAACATAAGAACCAGGGCTTGTTTTTAAGCCATTCTGGATACGAAGACCTTAATAACTGACCTTGATTTTGTTCATGGCCACCGTCTTCTCCTTCAGGAGCTCGGAGGCTTTGGCCTGCTCTGCCTCTGCTTTGTCCAGCTTCTCTTTCAGACCCTTTATCGTGTTGTCTCTTTCTTCCAGGCCGCGGGACGCTGCAGACAGAGTCGCCTTCATGGTTCGGATCTCCTCCCGTCTGGAGCTGGATTCTGCTTTGGCTGCAGCTGCTGACTGCTTAATGGCTTCCAGCTGCTCTTTGAGGCTCCTCTCCTTATTGGCCAAGTCCCCAACCTCTGAGCTGTGGCTCTCAGACTCTTTCCTCAGCTTCTCGGTGAGATTATTGATCTGATCCTCCAAAGCTGTGATAAGTTTCACTTTCTCAGACCAGGTGGCCTCCAGGCCAGCTTTTATTTCATTTGCAGAGCTGAGGCACTTTTCTGAAGCTTCAAGAGATTTGTTAAGGTGAGCAAGGGACTGGTTGACCACGTCCAGTTTGTTTTTCAGGACAGGAACCTCCTCTGCTGCTTCCTGGTTTGCAGCAACCTGCTTTTCCAGACATAAGATCTGTTCCTGGAGAGCGTTTATCCTTTCAGTGTGACTGAACTGCAGGATCTGAACAAAGATGCATGATTTAGTCTCAACACCAAGACAAAAAAACTAATTTTTACTCTGTATATGGTAACAAATTGTGCTTGACGATAAATTGTCCCAGAATCATTGTGATAAACGATAATATTGTTGTGAAACCATTTTCAAATATAACGGTAGCAGCACAATAAGACATTCTCACGTTCATCCAATAAGCTTTAAATTCTGATGAACATTTAACACTGAAATTTTAAATATTCAAATTAATTAAGCAAAACAACAAATAAAATGGATACTGAAGTCTATAAATAAAATTATCCTTAAAAAAGGGATTAGTTGAAACCAAAGCACTAGATTGGAGACTTCTGTCATCCAGCTTTTGTTGGATAAATCATATAAATAGAAATTATTGAGTTTGTTTTAATTTATTATGAGATTAATTGATTTTTTTTGCGTAATCAGGCAGACTGTAATCTTAAAAACAAACCCAGAAACCAGAAAGAAAGGATTATGCAGGATTTTCTTTTTACCTCTGCTTCTGTCTTCATCTCTTGAAGTCGATTTTCCAGCTCAGCCTTTTGATTTTCCACAGAGAGGATCTGAGCTTCAGCCGCTCTGAGCTGCTGCTCCGTCTCCGCGGTCCGGCTCCGCTGGACCTTCAGCTCCTCCTCCAAACGTTTCAGCTCCTCTGATTTCTCCTCGCAGGTCTTCGTCAGCTCCTCCTCCTTATCGGACATCGTCTTAATTTGTTTCTGCAGCTCGGCTCCCAGCTGCTCCTGGACCTTCAGGATCTGCTCCATGGAAGTGATCTGAAACGGGGTGAGACAAAAAGCTGGTTAAAAAGTTACTTTTATGGGTTTTAGGTGATAGACCAGGACAAAACGATGGATAAATATGTACAGGAATGAGTTTATTTTATTTGATAATAACTCCAGTTTACGTAGTTCTAACAAATACATTAAAAATTGTGTTTGAAATGAGATAAAATAAAGAAATTAATATATTTTAAGACACTATGTGGACTACAAGAATAATATTTTGTAACTTTACAAATCTAACAACGTTGGACTGAAAAATAAAAGCATATTTAGATTTAATAAAGCAATATGCTTGTAATTTCTGCTTAGAAATATCTGGTGAGATGAATGTTTTTTTCACAGAGTATAAGCTCTAAATAAAATACTTTGTGTCTGGAGAGCAGCAGCTCCTGCTGGACTTCCTCCGCCTGCAGCTTGACGCGCTCCGTCTCCTCAGCCTGCGCCGAAACGCTCTCCTCACACTGCTTCAGCAGGACGGCCTTCTGCATCACGAAGCTGGAAAACGAAACAAACCAAATGCATCTGCATGACGGATCAGCTCCAACGAGGGCTGCAGCTAATAATTACCATAGCAACTGATAATTATATTGATTGTTTTGACAAAAAAATCCTGCAGATTTTTAATTTAACCACTTAAGCCTTTTTTATACAGTATTAAAGATTCATGAAAAGGGGAAAATAAACAGATCATTTTTTTTTTGCCCAAAATGCAACAACGTAGCATTCCTTTAGTGAACACTTGATCATTTGCATATGCAGTCAAAAACGAAACAAAAAAAACTTCCAACTTGTGAAAATCTCAGTCATTTCTGCTTGATTTAACATCAATATTTTGTAGGGATTAATTAAGAAAAAGGTGATCAATAAATAAAATATTTTTTTTGTAAATTAGAAGCAGTTGAGGAGTTTTGAGTTGAGCATATTTTATTTACAAGGTTTGTTTTTAAATCTTAAATGTATTGATTTGGCTTCATTTCTGCTCTGTGTGTTTTGAGTTTTTATGCTCCAGTTAATTGATTGGTCACTAAATTAGTTGACGAGTGCATTAATAATCGATTCATTTCAGTAAATGCCTCAGTGAGGACAGATAATTTATTCCTCAGCATATTTAACCTCCACCTCATTATAGAAACTGCAGAGATTTATCTGTTCATCAGAATTCAAACTCATTGAGTTTCAAACGTATAAAAACTAGACGTTAAGTTTCCAGAGAGTCCGTGTCCAACCTGTCGCTCTGCGCCTCCTGCTGTGCGGCGGACTGAGCCAGGCTGTCCTTCAGCTGGCTGACCTCAGCCAGGCCCAGCTCCAGCAGCTGGTCCTTGGAGTGCAGCAGGTCGCAGGCGGCCTGGTGCTCCTCCTGCAGCTCAGAGATCGTCTTCTCAGCCAGCTCGGCTCGAGACGTCTCCCTCTGCAGTCGGGACTCCAGCTCTTTCACCTGTTTAAAGAAACGAGGAAAACGTTTCCCGTCACCTCAACGCAACGAGCTTAAAGGAAAGTCACATCCGGTTCTCGGACCCAAAAGGTTCCTGCTGCTAAACTCTCCTCTTGTTTACAAGGTTTGTAAACTTTCCACACAGTAAAATTCAAACACTCTTCGGTTTTTTTTATGTTTTTACTTTTCGAGCATCAACGTTAGGCCTGTCAGGATAACAAATTTTGCTGGACGATAAATTGTCCCAGAAATTATTGCGATAAACGATAATATTGTCATTTTGAGACCATTTTCAAGTATTATACTGGTAAAAATACAAGAACATGTTCTCAAAGATAAATGAACTTTAACACTGGAACTGGAAGACATTTTAAATATCCAAAACGAAACAAACAAAAATGACAGAAAAAATAATTTAAAAAAATGAATGATGAAGTAACTGACCTAAAGTAAGAAAAGTTTAATTTGATTTCACTTCAGACAGCGATTAAAATATATATGTTTTTTTTTTTATTAGGTGTGCAAAAATATCTGGTTTCAATTCCAAATAATGTTTTCCAAATTTGGGCTTTTAATTAAATGCTAGATTGTGTATTATTACAAAACTTTGCACAGAAATGAAGCAATTTCCGAGCCTTGAAAACGTCTCAGGGTTCATGAAGCATTTTTAGCTCGTGTCTTAACCCTGTCACTCCTAGAGGAGGACAGATTGAAGGTTTTTTCAGGAGGAACCAGAGTCTTGGCCTCACCTGACCCTGGAGCTGCGCCAGCTGCTTCCCGGCGTTCTCCAGCTCTTTGCCGTGTTTCTGTTCCGCTTCAGAGACGTGGAGCTGAAGCTGCTGGTACTGATGCTGCTTCTCCTCCAGCTCCGTGCTCCTCATGAGGAGTTCTCCCTTCAGGGCGTCGATGTGGGCGGACAGACTGGCTTTGTCTGCCTCCATGGATGAGATCTGGTCCTGCAGCATAAAACACACACACGTTTAATTTCTTCCTGAACAGCAGCAGGTTGCATATTGGTGAAACTCACCTGGAGTTTGTTGTTGGCCTCGTGCATCAGGCTCGCTTTGTCCTCCAAAGTGATAATCTTGTCGGTGAGCTCCTGCTGCACGGCCTCGGTTTGGTTGATCAAGTTCTCCTTGTTTTTCTTCCACTCCAGCAGAGCCTGGTGCTCCAGTTTCACAGCCTGGCACTCGTCCTGACTCTGACGGAGGTTTGATTTCAGCGCTTCGCTCTCCTTCTCCACCACCGTCAGAGTGTTGCTCAGCTTCTCACTCTCCTGCTTCTGCTTTTGAAACTCATTCTGAGATCTGCAAAGCAACAAATCTGTTATGATGAACTGAATGTCGATGAAAAACTGAAACATGATGAGCAAAACGCTTGATTAGTCAAAATATAATTTATAGTGATAGACTATCAACTGTAGAGTATAAAAAAAACTAGTCCATCAGTTTCCAAAGCAGACAAGTAATTTTTAAAAATGATTTTTATTATTTCTGTTTTGTCTTTGTTCTGAATGTATCCATCTTAGTTCTTTTTGTTTTTTGTGTTTATTTTATTTCTGCTGCCATTTGTTCTTATGTTATTAACCAAAAATGAGACTGAATTATTTATTTAAATATTTAATGTTCATAAATATTGAAAAAAAAGGCTTAAGTGGTTAAATGAAAAATCTGGAAAATACGGCAGTTTTTTTTATTTATGTCAGAATTACTAAAATAATCGGTAGTTGCAGCCCAATATTTTGATCCAACAAAACTGAAGAAGCTACAGGATCGTATTTGTCGGGACAGCGTTAATATCGAAGAGGAAGATGGCAGAAATGTTGATCTAAACAAAAAACATCTTCATCTAATGGAGCCTCATTTTGTCTTATTTTCTCCACCTGGCCGCCATTTTCCTGGACGCTAACTCAGAACTGCCCTCTAGTGTTCGCTTCGCCAAACAACACAGCCAAATTAGCACAACGCTCACTTCTTCCTTCATGCTTCTTTTTTTTACATTTCTCAATTTCTGACATAGAAAACCATAATCTATCATAAGCAGAAAGGAAACGTTACGACTTCTAAGATGTTTACTTGTCACTCTGGGCCTCTGCGTCAGAAAGCGTCTTCTTCATCTGCTCCAGCTCTCTTGCTGCCGCCTGAGTCTGTTGCTCAAGTTTGGACTGGAGTCTCTTCAGCTCCTCGGCCTGTCCTTCAGATTTCGCTGAAGTACAAGAAACAAAGCCGGTGAGAAGACATGAGTAGGACACATTAACAATCGTTCCTGCTGCTTCCTACCTTTCAGATCCTCCAGCTGCCCCTGGGTCCGTTTCAGCGACTGCTCAGAGATCCTCTTCTCCTCTTCCAGCTGAGTCAGCAACCTGCTGCTGCGGTCCAGCTGGATGGTCGCACCGCTCTTCTCTTTCTGCAGCTCCTGAAGGGAAGAGGACATTTTGAAAACGGGTAACTCATCTTGCCAGAACAGAAAGTTTTATACAGGAGTTTGTGTGTACCTCCATCTTTTTGCGGAGGTCTTGCTCTTTGGTCTGCGTCGCCTGCAGGCCTTGTTCGGACCGCAGCAGCTTCTGCTTCTGCTCCTCTATTTCTCTCTCCATCTGATTCTTCTGCAAGCGCAGCTAAAGTTTCCACAAAAACATAGTGAAACAGTAGAAGTTGTATCGTTTTTGCGTCGCTCAATAAAACGCCGAAGTGAGACGCTACCTTCTCCATGTCCGCTTGAAGGACATTGTGGTCTTTTTTGGCCTGTTGGACCTCCTGCGTCAGCTTGGTTCTGGTCTGGTTGAGCTGCTGATCCAAAACCTGATGGGAACTCTGAAGCTGAGCCAACTCCTACCAACCCAAAACCAAAATATAATCTGAATAATAAGTCAGAATTTAATGTTCTTCCCAGAGATTATGCACTTTTCCCACAGTAACATTCAGGAACCTTTCAAGGATTTTCAAGGTGAGTTTTCAAACTTTTCCATCACCAAACTTTGGAGATTAAAAATAACACAAATGAAATAAAAAACACAGTTTCACTCATATATTTTATCACTGTTAATAATATCTTGTGATAGTATCCTACATTCTACCTAAAATGTAACATTTTATGTTTTGAAATATTTCAAACTCTTATAAATCTGACTAATCCGAGAACAAAACACTAATTTAACGAAAAAAATACACAAATTTCAATAATGTTAGCGTTTAAAATATAAGATCAATAGGAATAATAAATTTTTAATATTGAAACAATGCAGTTAAATTGAATTGGATTAAAATTAAATCTTTAAACAAAATATAGAGTTACAAAAAAATCTCAGATTTTCTTGCCAAGTTTTTTGTGATTTAGCAAAAATCTCTAATTGTGGTAATTATAACCGACCTAAACAAGAACAATTTAGTCTGATTTAACTTCAAACTGTGAGAAAAAAATGTGTGTCTTTTTATTAGGTGCATGAAAACATCTGGGTTTAACTGTAAATATTGTTTTCCATATTTAGGCTTTTAATCAAACGCTAGATTGAATTTTATTACAAAACTGAGCAGCTTGAATATCAACGACTTTCAAGGATTTTATGCAGAAATCAAGAACTGATTGAAACTCAAGCATTTTCCAGGACTTACCCTGCATCTTAAAAACAACAAGACAACGTTGCGTTGTTTTACCTTCTGACTGTTTCTCTCTTGGTCTTTGAGTTTCTGCTCCAGAGCTCGCCTGCAGCTCTCAGCGTTGTGCCTCTGGCAGCTCATCTCCTCAGAGACCTGCTTCAGCTTCTGCTCCACCAGGGAACACTAACAACAGAGATCGTTTAGCTCTTCTATTCCAGGAGATGACGTCACCAAACAGAAACGGACCCCTGGTACCTTTGCCTGCAGCTGCTGGTGGCGGTCTGCAGCCTGGCTCAGCTCGTGGCCGGCCTTGGCCAGCTCTCTGTCCCGCTCCGCCAGCTCTTTGCGGGTTTGGTTCAAGTGAGTTTGAAGTTCCTGCAACTTTGACGCTTGGTTACGAATTTCCTTTTCCTGAGCGGCCAGATTCCTCTCCAGCTCTGACACACGACCACGCAGCTCTGATCGTGAAAAAAAAAAAAAAGAGGCAGGTTTACAGGGAATATCTCACTCACCACATCAGAAACTAATTAACTATGAAATCCATGAAAGTCCACCTTGGTTGAGGCTCTTCAGCTGCTCCGTCTGTTGGGACGATCCACCGGGACTCTGGACGGTTCTGGACGAACTCATCCGCTGGCTGGGTTTGATCGGCGTTTCCTCGTGGGTGTCCCACAGAGAAGCACCGCGCCTCTTTAGCGGCGTCTCCATCACATCCTGGCCCCGCAGGCTGTGGACCTGATCCTGTTGTTGCCATGGGAATATGGATGACCCAGCTTGGCGGGCGGCGATGTCCTTATGGCTGACGGATGACTGATTCAGCAACTGAAGGAGGACGGACACGATGAAGGTGACCTGTTGTGGCTCCTTAAATAGATCTACATGTTCGTTACATTTTTTACACAAACATTAGATCTTAGTTTTGGTCAGTTCTGTCCATTTGGATCTCCTTTCAGAATAAGCCGTTTTAGGGAGTCTTGTCACTTTAAATCCCAGTAAGCTGCTGCTGGCCACAATCCCAGCTCAACATTTACACATGAATATGGCTGCAAACAGATGCACAATTATACAACTATACATCTTTGAAAAGCAGAAGTGGAGCCTCCTGCACAACCAACATGAATGTAGTAAGTGATTTCTGGCTGGTAAGTATTTGACAAAACACTTCTCTTTTCCAGCAGCCATTGTACAGCGAATACAGCAGTAAAACCAACTGACCAAACATGCTGGAGTCCTACTTGAGTTGCTAGGTGATGGGCTGGACTCTGCGATAGTTGCTAAGAAACAACACAGTGCCCGTAGAATGTGACTTAATAATCAGGAGGATTTTAAAATGGCTCATTTTCTAGACACCAAAAAACATTAACATATAGCTAAAAATGACTTCTTAAGTGTCGGGGTTGTTTTTAGAAGGAGTTAAGTCCCAAATGGAAATACAAAAAAATGCAAAATGTGAATTTTGCTTAACAGGTCCACATAAAAACTACAATTAAAGAAATCAGACATGAAAAGTAAAACTCACCTTGACCTGCAACATTTTGAGCTCACTTTCCAACTTTCTTCTTTCTTCCACTTCATGGTTGTACTTTTCCTGAAGTTCCTCCAGTTTGCCATCTACAAAGACACAGGAGTGAGACCTGCAAACATGACCGCTCAGACGAAACACAAAGCCTCTGCAAACCAGGATACCTTGCTGTCTGTGTGCAGCGACAGGCGCTGGCGTAGCAAAAGTCTTCTGTGGAGTGCTGAACGTCTGCAGGTCGGAGGAAGAGGTGGACAGCGAGGAAGATCCAGCAGGCTGAGTGCGATCGAGCTCAGTTTTGTACCTGAAGGAAAATAGACACGTTAGCAAAAAAACAACAACAATGGTCCTGATGAGATAACAGGAACCAAAAACAAACCCACTTCTTGAGTTCTTGCTCCAGACGATCGATGGTCTTTTTGCAGGAGTTAAGTTGACCCTCCAGGTAGCTCACCTGAGTCCAGGGGGACAAACCAGTTAGAACCACACATTTTTACCATTTTCAACCACAAACGTCAATGTATTTTATTAAGATTTTACATGTTAAACACAAACTGTGACTTTTTTTTTTGTAACAATAAATACAGTACAACCTCTCAGCAGAGCCTACATTCCCTTGGTTTTTTGTGAGAAACGGACCTGCTGCTCTTTGACTCCGAGGTCATGAACGACCTTCTGACGAGTTTTCTCCAAAGCGTCACATGACTCAATCATCGACTGGTTTTCTCTTTTCAAAGCTGAGATCTCGGTGCGTTCGCTGTCCACCTGAAGAGCCGAGTGTTCAAGTTACTCACACAAACGTGTCAACGTCACAAACCCGCCCGGCTGCTGCGAGTGAAAACTGACCTTCTGCTTCTGTTTCTGCAGGGCAGCTTCCAGAGAGTCCAGCTGAAACTGCTTCTGTGACCGTTCCTTCTTCAGCTTGTCCAGTTGGGCCTCCATCTCCTGGATCTTCTGCAGGGCTTTCCCTGGAAGTCCATCCTTCCACTCCTCCACCGCCCAGCTCATGGCCTAAAACCTCAACCAGAGACACAATCATTTATCACACGTAAGAGACGGAACAAAGCAGTTGGATGAACCAATGAAACTGGCTTTGGTTTTATCTTTAAATTCTGATTTAACCCACCAGAACACAATTTCAACGTTCTAGAAAACTACTTGTTAATTTCATCCCCAAGTGTAGTCAGTTCCACCTCAAACGGCCATCAGGTGACATTCAAGACCAAAAACCAAAGAGGTCACAGCCCTCTGGGTCTTAACTCACCAGTTCTCCCAGCTAAAGGGAAACGGACCCAAAACAAGACAACAAAAAACTAAAAATTATAAATCATTTCTTTTTAGGCTTGTTTTCTGCTTTAGTTGACTGTAACACACAGACTTCTAATTTATGCTACTGTTTGATACGTATTTATAGGCTTTGTGCCATGTTCTTGTATTGGATATAATGTGTTTTAATTTGCCTTTTCAGAACATCGGTGCTCAATGAACAAAATTAAATTAGTGTTTGAATTTATGCTGTCCTGGCTAACACCGTTTAATCGCATAATAAATTAAAATGAGCTCAATTATTTTCATTCTGATTAATATCTACTGAAGGGCAATTTTGTTTAGAGAGACATCATAATCCATTTTATATATGATTTTGGTTCAAGTGGTTTTTATTTTCATCTCATTTATTATATTTGGTTGTTGTGTTTTATTTTGGATATTTAAAATGTTTCATTTAAGTGCTCTCTACAAAATTAAAGGGCAAGTTTGTGTTATTATGCCATTATTTATACCTTACATGAAAATAGTCACAAAATAAAATCGTTTATCGGAACAAATACTGGGACAATTTACCGTCCAGAAAAATGCGTCATTGTGACAAAGATATGAGTTACAAAGGTTTAGTGGCATATCATAGATCCAACCTGATCTACCTGGAAAATCTCTTATCAATTTTTATATAAAACATTTGGGAAATATTGTTACATCACATCAGGTTTTAAAGTTTAAAAATCCCATGTGGCTCTCTTGTCAAAATAACCAAGAGTTCCTTTAAATAACTTAGAATATTTAAAATTTTCTGTATTGCATATCATGAAAACATTAATGTGTATTTTAGTACAGCTGAACATTAAAAACAACCAACTGAGCTAATTTGACAAAGTTCTTAAGATCCTCATTATTCAAATAATGAAAAGTATTTCAAACAGGATTTTTGGCAAATTAAGGAAAACATGCAGCTGCGACGCCTCTGCTAAAAATTGCGATGATGATGGTGGTGATCGTACAGCGCCTTCATCTCTCTGTGAACTTTACATCTGAGCCACTAAAAAATGTCCGTCAGGCGTGATCATTAAGGTTAGACTCAATCCAACTGCCAAATATATTATTGATACGCACAACCTGAATAAAAAAACGTTTAAAAAGAAACTAGTCTTACCAATTGGGCCACAGCTAACAATTACTTTAGTAATAAATTATTCTATTGAATTTTCAGACAATTCAGAGAACAAATTGGCACATTCTGAAGATTTTTCATTTAACCACCTGAGCCTTTTAGACATTGAACGAGATTAAGAAAAACAAATAATTCAATTCAATTTTATTGCCTAAAATGAAATAACACAACTTTCCTTTAATGAATTTCCACCAACTTAAGCTAAAACTGACAGTTTTGAGGAAAACATATTTCCAGAAAATTGTGTTTTTAGTCTAAAATATTAGATTTTGTACAGTTTTGGCCTAATTACTGCTCCGAATAATTTGTTTTTTTTTCTTCAGTTCATTGCCTTTTTTGAGTCTGTAGACTCCTGTTAACGATTAATCAATTAGTAAATTAGCTGACGATAATTTTTCAAATCTATTCATCACCATTAAGTCTCAGCCATACTTATCAAATATGACATCCAAGTAATCATTTGTCACAATGCACACATTGGCTTTGCTTCTTTAAATGTTTGGTTCCTTAAATAAACAACTTTTCCCTTTGGGTTCACTACAAACAGAGACCCCAGATAGTGTGATATCCAGCTACTGAAAAAAACATTTTTCTTTGAAAATATATTTGAATACTGCAATATTTATAAGCAAAAAATGAGTCTGAGTTTGTATGGTTTAATAACTTATTTTAAATCAAATGTTTTTGTTTTGATCGTATCACAGCATGCAGAATTTGTGGAAAAGCTTATTAAAACTGATTATATTTGAATAAAACAACAATAGAAGAAGCTATAAAAAAATTATCTTTTTGTTTAAATTATATGCTCGCAACCTATAGATATGTAATGTGTAATCAGTACGTCTGTTTGTACAGCAATGAGGTCGGTAATAAGTTAGCAGAATTAGCACCATTAATCGACGTCAGTGCAAAAATAAATAAATGAAAACTACAAAGACGAATAAAAAATATTTTTGAAGAATTCTGGGCCAACAAGCACACATCTGAAACATGAGTGAAAACACCGCTAGACGTAAAGAAAAGCATTAAAAACGTTCAGCTACAGTTTCCATTGTAGTTTATCGTTAGGTTGATCGTGTTGAATTGTTTCAACGAAAATATAAAACCTAACTTAAACTTAGATCTTGACCGATCCACAGCTTGAAGATTGGCAGCTCTATTAAATACCGACTCATATTGTCAAAATAACTTCAGAGATGATTTTAACATATGAAGATATAAAGCATAAGCTTGCCTACACTTACTTTGGGCGCGACGCTTCTTGCTCGACTTTAGAAAATTCAAACTGTAGTAGAGGAAGCGTTCGTTCCCTTAGCTACACGTCTATTGGTCCAATCAAACTGACGCCACGACTTATACCGCACCTGATTGGCTGACTTGTTACTGTTTCCACAGTGCCCCCTTGTGGTGTCAGCATGTCAATACACACGACAGACAGAAACGTCCCATCTGTATTAACAGAAATAAAGCAGCTTGGTATCATCATGACCCAGTCAAACTCCAAATTTATCTCGATAAATTAGAATATCCTCATAAGTGAGAAATATATTAGCAATAGATTGATCATATGGATGCTAACATTATGGATGTTTACATATGGATGATTCCAGAATTGCACCGGTCATGGTGACAGCATGTTGGGAGTTATGTTAGTTCTGATTTGTTTTTTGTAGACTTTTGTTCATATTTTTGTTTGGAGAATTTTTCCCTCTGGTTTTGAAAGTTGTGTTTTTTCCTACAGTCATCATGTGATACCTTAAAAACAAGGTGTTGTTTTTACAACTGGGAGCAGCTTATTAGCATCTCATCATAATCAACTAGGATTATACTACGTCTTTTCTTTTTGTTTTTCCAAAAAAATAACCTTCACAAGCAATAATTTTAAAGCAGAATGTTTCACTTTTTCTGCATTGAACAGCATAATTTAGAGAAAAAAACATGGAAGAAAATAAAGTGCTGTGAACTTTGATTCAAAACATTTTCAGTTACAAAATCTGAATGGTAGAGTGCAGATAGTTTAGTCATTTATTAGTTTTCATTTAAAACATAATGAAAAATTATAGACTTAGATCTTTTTTGCATTCCAACAGAATAACATTCATGCTTAGCAATTTATTACAGAAACATGCAGAAAGGATTACAAAGAATTACAAAACAACAGATTCGCTTGAACATCCAAGGGAAAAAATGTCTGACTAAATGCTGCGCTTACGTTTGGACAGACAGTCCAAACAGTGTTTGGCTTATGCAAAGCCTCTGCATCTTCTTCTCTTGCAGAAATCTACAAACATGATTATGTGGGCTGTACTGGGCTGCTGAAATAGTGCTTTTCACATTACAGCTATAAGGCAAGCACCTTGCAGATGCATCATTTTTAATAGAGTCGACAGTCAGATAAGCAGGAGATGCTACAAATACAACCACAGAAAACTCATCACAAGGTTGCGTCAGTCTGTAGGCCACATTGATGTGGTGCATTGAATTCACTTAACAGTAAACAGGAGAAGCTACTGGTTTCTGATGACAATCCACTGACAGCGAAACTGTCCACTTCTGGATAAACCATGTTTAAGTTTGACATCATTTAGTCACATTGAGAATACAAAACATGAGTGCAAGGAAAACCCTTAGATAAGGCCCAGGTGATCTTTGCTTCAAAGCTTTCGTTGCCTGTCAAATTAAGAGCTAAAACATCAAAAAAAGGGAAAGAAGCATTTCTCGGTGGTTTTAGGAGATTTATACTGCAAAATCAAAAAATGTTACCAAGTACTTTTGGTCTAGTTTTTCAGGTGTTAATGTCTTAGTACACTTGAAATAAGACAAAACTAACTTATAAGTAACTTTTCAGCAAGAAATAGTTTGTTTTAAATCAGCGATTCCTAAATATTGACTAAAACGTACAAGTTTCACTAATTTCACTAAGATATTTAATGTTATAAGTGAAATAATATGCCAGGAAAACCTGTAGTTTTTTTAAAAACTAATACTAAGGAATTATTTACTCAAAACAAAAAAAATAGCTGAAGAGCTATTTATGTTAGTTTTGTCCCATTTCAAGAGTACTGAGATATTTTCACTACATGCTGGACCAAAAATACTTGGTGAGATTGTTATTTTTCAGTGTTACGTCTACAAATAAGATCTAATTTTACAATCGGCACCTGCCTCACACTTTAGAGTGAGGGTTTGTAGCCACCTGAAAATTATAATATAGATTTGTCTTGCTAGTATTTAATAATTTCTTCTGTAACGGTTTTTCACAAATTTAACTGTTTGGATTTTTCTGATGGCGCATATTAAGCAAAAATCATCAAATTTATACTTCAAAAATGACACTAAGCACCGAGAAACGTGAAGCAGGAACATTTCTCAAAATTACATAAGGAAATATTTCTTACAGAATGTAGATATGTGCATGTTAACGTCAAAACCAGACTGATGAGAATTTGCTTTTAAAGAAACATAAAATAAGACAAAATACCATACCAAATACAGAGTTCCTGCTGTTATGACTGAACCAGAGGCTCCGGTTTCAGCCGGATCCTCGGCAGAAACTCTCAGAACATTTGGTCAAATCTCAGTCCGGCGCTCATTCCCAGGCCCGAGTGTTTCGCTTTGGGTCGGTTACTGATCTGCCAAGGTCACATGATCAGTCAACTGCCGGTCAGCTGGCTGAATAAAACCTCCACTCTGCTCATTAATTCGTAATAAAGAAAAAAATCTATTTGGAAATATTTCCTGTTGTGAAAAGCACAAACACTGATTATGTAGAAACTAAAGCAGCAACAGCATCACCCTTTTGCTACTTCGCTGCAAACTGGACGTCTGAAATGCAGCCGACTGCAGGCTTGCTACTCGAGCAGATTGTCCGACTAACCAGCTAAAACACAGAATGACAAAAATATGTACCTAATACTTTACTGAAATAATGTATATGCAATCCTTTTTTCAGCAGTAAATAAAAAAATATACATTGTTTTCAACTTTGATGTGATATTTTTCTCATTCTCTTCTTTTTTGAAAAGAGAGAACAGCCAAGATATGAACTGATCACTTCATCTGAAAAAAGACAAACAGAAACAAACAAATGCATAATAAGTCAAGAATGCAACACTTCCCTTCAACAAACCACAACGCGCTGCGAGACCTCTCAGCTGCTACAGAGTGTTTGATGCATGGCCAGTCTTAGTGTTAAATCACAGTTTCACTGAGTGCGACTATAAACTGTGCTCTGGTGGTAAACAGACAGGCTGTGACCCAGTGACTAATCTGGAAGGACACATGCAGCTCGAAATGCTGCAAAAACACAAACAGCCTGGAGACAAATCCACAAAACACTGAGTGGAAAAGCAGGACGAAGGTGGAAGCCACCAGACGAAAGCTTGACTTTCCTCGGAAGGCAGCTTCAAAAGGCAGGACGATGAGTTCAGTTTGAGGATGAAAACAAAATACTTCAGGTGTTTTTAAATTAATTCCAAAAAGCAAACCTAGTTAAAGTCCAGTATGTGAAGAAATCAGGGACAGGTAACCCAGTCAGAACGCATGTGCATAAAGTGAGGCAGGACAATAAAAAAAGTGTAAAAACAGAGGTAAAGGATGCATGCCATGCTTTGGAGATGTGTGTTTTGTTGCTTTTTAAGGAGGTCCCAGTTTAATTTTCTCTTTCTCCAGGTTTATTTCTGGTCCAGGATTTCGCGTTTGACCTCTGCTACATAATGGTGGTCTTTCCCATGAGCCACCTCCATGATGGCCAACGCCTGAGGAGAAGTAAAGAGATGATTGACAAACAGACTGCCCAGACACTCATAAGGCATCCAGTCAATACACTGATTTTATGGATTAATCACATTTTTGTTTTTTAGAATTACATTTTTTGGTAAATCTGGATTTTTTTTCCACCAATAAACTCCTTGGGTTTCCATAGTTTAGAGCCACCATCTTGTTTGTTTTTTACAGTTTATATTTATTTGGACATTGAATTCAGTTGAACTCTACAGCAGAATAACAGGGCCGGGCTACGATCTCTTAATTATGAGAATAAAGTCAAAGTACAATAATGCAGTCGTAGTAACACAAGAAGATGTACGACAATAAAGTCAAAAATAATCCAAAGCTCTTGAGAACAGTTTTAAACGGGATAATGGAGGATCATTGTTATGATAATTTGCCGAAAGCTGAATCTCGGAAAGAGGAGCTTCTTAAAGAGACAGAGGCCTAATTTCAAGGCGTCTAACTGCAAAGTCACATTTTTTTTACAGTTATGTTTGATGTAACAACTTTTATAACAACTAGGTGCCTAGAAAATACATAATGCCTCCTTTAAGTGATTTTTTAAAATTGAAACATTTACTCAGTGCTACACTGTGCTTGACATCAGTGTTTTGAATAGAATGGTACGGGGAGTGTTTGGAAATAAAAAAACATGAGCACAAATATCTTTAATTTGGTTTCATCAGACACAACATTGCAAATCAAGGTTTCTCTACAATATGTTTTTCGAGAAGAGAGGTTTCCTGCTGGCTATATTTTCTACTTTTAAAATAAAACTTACAAACTTTAAAATTTAATATCCTGAGGCAAAAATGACACCAATAAAGACAAAAATTACCTTTTTCAAAGCTTTGACACCTTGGGATTTCTTTTCAAGTCCCAAGTAGAGACGGCCCAGCTTCAGGTACATGGATGCCACATTCAGAGAGTAGGTCGGGTAGTGAACACTGCGGAGAAAATGGCAACACATCAACTCAAGAAGAGGATGGAGTTACTGAGACAAACAATTTTGTTTTGGTGCTTCAATAATTAAAAACACAGCTGCCTTCAATAGTAACAAAAGGAAACTGGGTTTAAAAACCACAGAGGTCAAGTGGGCTGAACATGAATAAAAAGAGAACATTTAATATAAAGCAGCAAATGGAATGGTAAGCACCAAACGTGCTGGAGTTCCGCTTCGGTTGCTAGGTGACGGGCTGGGCCTGGCTGGGGTTGCTAGGTAACGGCACAGTGGAAATTCCAGACACCAAAAACAAAACATTAACTTATTGCCTTATTGGATGGTTTTTATAAAGCAGGTTTTATTGTTTTTAGAAACAATTGAGACCCAAATGTAAGGATAAAAACATCCTAAATGTGAATTTCTAATATATATTTCAATATAAATAAAAGGAAATGCTGGGTTTTAAATCACTGAGGTCAGATGAGTTGAGCATGGAAAGAAAAAGAGCTCGTTTGATGTAACTGCTGAGGTAAATGGTTTCATAAAGACTAACTTTAATACAAGTGTCACTTGGATCAAAAACCCACTCTGCTCTCAAACGTCTCCTCAAACCTCCGAATCTGGTTTGGGAC